CTAAAAATATTTCAGAGTGGTATAATAATAAATAAGTACTTCAATATACATTGCCTAATTTGATAAATGCAACATATTGATAGTCTTCATGCTCTCACTTTCCACATGCCTTTAAATTTGTTCTTCATCTAATGATTAAAATTCTAAAATTACTACAAAATTCAACATTAAGTTATCTCTAAATTATGATTTGAGTACATGATTTCTAACTTTCACATAATTTAAAGAGCACTAAAAGCAATGTTTAAAAGGAAAAATTAAGAATAACAAACTTCCAAGCATGTACCTATACGACTATAATATTTCGGAGAAATTAAAATAGTGGTTGAGAATGACATAATGAGAATACAGAGGTTCCAATTGTGGGTAGAAATTCCATGTCACATACCTTTACTGCTAATGGAGGAAAATTCATTGTTCCCACTGAATTCCCATGTGCATTGCCTCGTCATTTTGGGCTAAATAACAAGGCATAGACATTATCTTGCTTATTTTGAACTCTCTAAACATGGAAAATAGTGAATCAACCCAACATTATTAATCTTGTTATTTAGCAACATTTTGTGATTAAAAAATATACTATAATAACAATGGGCTCTTTTCCTCAGGACGGTATCTTTTCAATATCCGCCGTTCACGAGTTCTTTCACCCACATCTTTTATTTTTAAATATCTTTTGAAGCTCTTAAAAGATGCAAACAAACACAAGAAGAAGCCCAAGCAGCCTACAGAGAAAAACAACAACGAGATCTCATCAGTTGGAGAACAAACAGGGTGCATTCTTTTAATGACACCTAGAGATTCTGGTGTTTTATCACGTGACATGCATGCTCATAAAATTGTTGAAGTTGGCCCATTAAAAGAGGAAGAAGCAAGGGAACTTTTTGAGGAGATCGGAGGTGAACAAGCTACCAATCTTATTTTACAGCGTACTGCAGAGAACAATGAGAAGATAGAAGGTGAGCAACCTATTAAAGAGCTCGTCGATGACTGCAAGCAATTGCCCATCGCTATTGCAACACTAGCAAGTACCTTGGAAAATAAGAATCAAATACAGAGGAGGACTACCATAAAAAAGCTTCATTCTCATCAAAGGCTCTCCAAGACTGAGGTAAACTTGAGTGTGATGTCGCCAAGCCTTTGTTCAGCTATCAAGTTAAGATATGGTGATTTGGAAAGCAAGCAACTCAAACAAACTTTATTGCTTTGTAGTCTAATGGGTCAAAATGCAGGCATTCAAGATTTGTTAAAATATGGCATAGGCTTGGGATTATTCCCAAAAGCCAACTCTATCGAGGCAGCAAGAGATGAAGCACTGAAATTGATGAAAGAATTGAGGAGAAACCCTTCTTTGTTGCAAGAAGGTGGGGACAATATGCATTTTGATATTCATGATTCAATTCAAACGGTTGCCATATCAATTGCTTCTCGGGAACATGGCCTGTTAGATTTGAGGGAGGATGCTGCTGAGGACATGTTTGACAAGGAGGCAATGAAAGAGTGCAAATGGATTTATTTATCAAATGTTGATGCTAGAGTTGCTGGTCACCTTCCGCAGAGGTTGAAATGTCCACAGCTCACTTTCTTTCACTTAGATAACAAATATCCTGATTTGAAAATTCCAGACGAATTTTTCTGGGAAGCAGATGTACTCAGAGTCTTGGGTTTGACTAAAATGCATTTTTCGTCAATTCCTTCATCATTTTCACTCTTAAAAAACCTTCATACCTTGTGTCTGGATCAAAGTAAGTTGGGTACAATCCTAGTCTCTGTCATGAGAAACTTGAAGAATTTGCAAGTCCTCAGTCTTGTGGGATGTGACATTGAAGAGCTGCCTCAGGAAACAGTGCAACTGGCTAAGCTGAAGTTGCTGGATTTGAGTGACTGTACTAAACTTGAAGTCATTCCACCAGGTATCTTAAAAAGTTTGTCACAATTAGAAGAACTGTATTTGGGAAACAGCTTTGACCAATGGAAGCACATCAAGAAGCAGGATACAAGAAGAAATGCCAGCCTTGATGAGTTGACACAGTTGAAAAACCTAACCAATTTAGAGGTACGCATTCATGATATCAATATGATTCCAAATGACTTTTTTTCTATAGAATTGAAACGATACAAGATTTTCATAGGAGATTTGTGGAATCATTGGGGCAGTTATTTTGAATACTCAAAAACATTGAAGCTAAAGCATGATGGAAGCATTAGATCTGATGAAGTTATAAGGTTGCCAAACAAGGTAGAGGAGCTGCATCTAGAGAGGTTGAATGGTGTCAAGGATGTATTTAATGGGTCATTAGGTATGCATTTCTAATCATTGTATTTCTATTTTGAAGAGAGAATCAATGGAAAAATCACCAAAGCATGGTTTTCTTATGTTTACTTTGATCTTTATGTGAGTTTAATTGATTTCGTAATGAAGTTGCTGTTGAATGCTTTTTGTTGGGGCGATATAGTGTTTGATGTTCGGAATTTTTGGAAATTTGCTCCTTAGGAAGAAATTTGCTGCATGATTTGTATGAGCTATGGATTTTCCAAGTTTAGAACCAACCCAACATTGAGTTTCCTAATTTCGGAATCCAGACTTTGTTGTTTTTAGTATTCCTGAGTTTATCCATTGTGACCTCCAGAATTGTGTGTCTGTTGGTGAATGCACGTTTAATCCCTTGAATTTCTTGTTTGTACATTCATCTTTGTTCCCGTATGGAACTCTTGGACCTTGGAATGTGGATTAAAAAAAAAAGAAGGAACTCTAGGAATGTCTAGTTGTTCGGTTGGGCCATAGTTTGGCCCAACCCAAATTCCATGGCCCTTTTCCTTTTCACATGGACCATAACCCAATCATTTTCAAATCCATTCAACTTCCGAAAAAAAAAAAAAGAGTTCATTTCATTTAATTGGTTCGATTATCACATAATAAATAAATTTAACTAACCCAATTTCACCTTGACCCTTAGTCAAACGTTTGACTGGGTAAAAGTCGAACATTTAATAATAATAATAATAATAATATCAACAAACAACAACAACTTCAACTAAAACTCCAATTTTCAAATAAGTAATCGTGTTTGACACCAAATTGTCCACATTCCTAACCAAATCCTTGAATTGTTAATAATAATAAAAACAATAATAATAATAATAATAATAAGTTGAACTAAAATCTTAATTTTCAAATAAGTAATCATGCTAATTTGACACAGAGAATTGTAAAGTATACCTATACGACTCTGTAGGCTTTCCCAAAAATCTTATGTGCTAAGTATTTATATAATACTTTTATAAATATTGAATAGACACTAAATATTAACAAATATGTTGGATTTGTCTTTTGGAACTCTAATCCTTCATGTTTTTTCTTTTAATGAAGATTAATGCCTTATAAAATTATGAATTTTAAATATTGTATAGGCATTATATATTTAACATATACTGTAGTTCCACTTATATAATTAGTATTTTTGCCCTTCTCTTTTCATGAGATTGGAAAGAAAATTGAATTATGAAATGAAAATTAGTGTTTAATAAAGTTTTTTAACTAAATAGTTTATTAGCATTAGACTTTTTTTAGAAAAATAGAGCAAAATGTAAAAAATTTTAATTTTAATTTTAATTTTTTTAAAAATTGAGTCCAATTGACCCAATTCGAAACTTGTGTAGATGAGTCATAGGTTTATTCCTTTAACCTGACACCTTAAATGACTCAATCAAAAAAACCTTGAGATCCAAGACAACACAATTTAAGCCCACCCAATCCGATCTGTTTGTTAGATTTACTATAATTGCAGTTGTAGGTTTTTTGATGTTTTAACGTCTTAAAAATAAATAAAATATTTAATATATTTAATATTTATTTCAATTAACATTTTAATTATATATTTCCTGCAGGATTATAATGATGAAATCTATAATAACGAGCTTGTAACAGTATACAAGTTTGAACAATCATCATATAATTATTTAAATCGTTCAATTAATTAAAAATTTAGGCCTATCATTAATTGCCTAAATTAATAAATTTTTATATGTTGCTACGAAGATAAAAGATAATAATTGACTGTTAAACAAAATATATCGAGAGGAACACCTATGTGATGCCAGACATAAAGCGAATAATGTGCAATAATTATTTTGTGAGAATCATGATATAAATTCACCTGAAATGGTTTACTAAAATCTTATTCTCCTAGTACAAAGTATTTATCTAAAACACCATGGCCATTAAAGGAAAGAGTCTTCCTCGTGTATTTTTAGCGATGCAGCTATGTATTGCAGCATTAGATACCGTTGGATCTAGCCATGTAAATGCACATTGAAAGTATTTTGTTTGGGTGCTTAGATCAAGGCGAGTCTTGGTGACATGGAAACTACCTGAGTCCAAGTTTGACCTTTTACAAAACAATCCATCAACAAATAGAAAGGGGTATTTGGGGAGATTTTGGAGGGGTATCAGCCAACAAAAAAATAAAAGGGTGAGCTAACAAATCTGGCAAAAAAAGAAAAATCAAAGAAAAAAGGCTGGAGGTTTTTAGGTGCTGATTTTTTGAGTTTTCCTCCTCCATTCTAGGAGTTGGGAGAAGGAAAAAAGAGAGCCAGAGGTTTTTGGGTGCTCTTTTTTGAGTTTTCCTCCTTCATTTTGGGATTTGGGAGAAGAAAAAAAAAAGAGAGAAGGGAAGAAGAGGAATAGGGATGTCTTTTGTCGAGCTTCTATAAAATCAGTATGTTTGGAAACACAAATAAACCAATGCAGTATGAATGGGCATAGATTTAAGCTATTTTTCATTATAAAACCGAGCTGTGAAATATTAATTTTTTAAAGAGAGTGTGACTAAAGGTGACAAAACTGAGTGTGCATGAATCATCGTCCTTATTTAATAACACGTCATATTTATTTAAAATTATGTCATATTATAAATTTATAGTTTTATGTGGTATTGTAACTATAACATTGACATATGACAAAATAAATAGTTTTTTTTTTTTTTTAACAGCAAATATCAATTTATTAGTCGGAGTATAAGTGATACTCCTAATGGTTACAAAATGGATTAATGTTTACAAGGCCAGTTGCTGCATACATTCCCGAGGAGCCAAGGGCCAATAAAAAAAGCTAAAGAAACAATTTCGTGTTCTAGCCTTAATCCAAAATAAAGATCTCAGTTGAGTGAGTTCGAAGAGCTTCGTAGAATCGATTGACTTACCATTGAAAGTCTTTTCATTCCTTGTTAACCACAATGACCATGTGCCAGCTTCCCATACCACGCCCCATCCTCTGACAGTTTCTTGTTGTTAAAGAGTGAGAGTGTTGTTCATATGCCATTGTACAGTGATACAGAAGAAGGCTTGCAATACCCCACCACTTCCAACAGTTTGCCCAAAGCTCAGATGAGTTTTTGCAGTGTAAAAGTAAGTGGTGCGTGTCTTCTATGTCCGAACCACACATCTCACATTTGATTCCGTTGAAATCTTGAAGCACCCCACGCTTGAGAAGGTTAAAACGGGATGGTATCCTGTCATACATTGCTTGCCAATTGAAAGCACTAGCAAAATAAATAGTCTATCATAAATTTAATTTTCTACTTTAAAAAAGAAGAAGAAGAAAAAGAAGATAGTCTAGCATAAGTTTTATATTTTGTTTAGAGAAAAAGGTGCAAAATGGCTCCATTATTTTCGAGTAGGAGCAAATTAATACTTTAAAAAAAAGGTTGAAGTAAATTTACTATTTTAAAATTTTATTTTAAAGAAATTTGCTCAAACTTAACAATTAACATCAACACAATTGTAGTCCTCCATATGGGCAAAGTGGTCACGTTTCTTCGTGTGAAAAGTAAGGTGGAGTATAGCACATGATCACTAAATCAACTTCTTGATCGGTGTTTGAACAGATATTAACTTACTAATCATATTTCTTACAATAAAAAAAAAACATCAACACAATTGTTTTTCTATTAAACTATTATTACTCTTAGAATCTAATGAAAATTTTACATTAATTGTTAAATTTAAACTAATTTTTTAAAAAATAAAATTTTAAAATAAATGATATTTAATTTTTTTTTTTTTTTTTGAGTACTAATTTATTTCGACTCTCATGAAATTGGCGGGCGATTGCACATTTAGTCTTGTTTTTCATTGATGAATTGTGTCGGACAAGTCGTATATAGTCTATGTAATGTATAAATCTATGCCAATTT